CCGCCCGCCGGGTGCGCCGGGTGCGCCGCCGCCACCGCCGCCGCCGCCTCCGCCGCCTCCGCCGCCGCCTCCGCCGCCGCCGCCGCCGAGCTCAGGGAGTCGACCAGCGCCGGCGGGGGACGATTTGCAAGCGCAGCTGATGGCGTCTATTCGATCGGGAGGCAACTTGCGCAAGACGCCCGTGGACCCGAACAAGCGCGCCTTCAAGCAACGGACGGGCACGGTGCTGCCGTGAGGGTGTCCGTTGCGTGAGGGCGTCGCTTATGTCGTGCCGTGAGCGCTGTGTGGTGGGTGTCTTGAATACAACCGTACGGGGTTTTGACTAGAGCTTTTGCCTTGAAAACGGCCGTGCCAGCGGGAACCAGGATTTCTTTTTTGCACGAGAGAGATCTTCTCTCGGCTTTTTCGTTGTAGCTTGTACGTACGTTGTACGTACTTTTAGCTTAAAGCCGTACGTTGTACATGCGGCTACGTACTTTACTCTCTCTCTCACGTTGTATGTGGCTCTCTTACGAAAAAGAAAGAAAGAAAGTACTCCAGTGCTCCAAGACCAAGTAAACAGAGAGTGAGACAACTCAAGGGAGGGATGGGAGGACGGCTCTTACGTACATTCCCGGAGGAGGACTGCTGACTTTTTCAGTGTATGTGGCTCTTACGTACATTCCCGTAGGAGGACTCTGCTGACAGGGTTTGCGATGAGGAGCGACCCGATGGGTTTTCTCGGACGGAGGTGAGTGTTACCACTAACCGCCGAAGCGCAAGAACTCTACGACGGATCGTGCTCATACTAGCACCCCACCTCGCGGGCCGATTTTCTGGCCCAGCGAGGCTGGGAGGCTGGTGGGGGGGCCCAGGGGAGAAAACTTTTTTGCATTTGGCAAACATGAAACATCCAACGGTCGCCCGAATTTTTCGTCGTCCGGCACCGAGCAGGGCAAGGCTTCACTCCGTTTCACTGATGAAAGCGATGGACGGAGAATTCGCAAGTACGATCGTGGGAGGCGACGAGGCGACAGTGCTAAAGCTCCTCAACGAAGGCGCCATCGGGAGCCTAAACCTGACGTTTGAATTCGAAGGGATAGAAGGCTACACGCCGTTGATGCTGGCCGCCGAAAGCGGCCATGAGAGGATAGTTAGTCTACTGATAGAACGTCACGTACCTACGCGTCCACAGCTTACCAATTCCATGATGTTCGCAGTTTGCAATGGCCACGAGCAAGTGGTTGACATGCTGCTGAAGCAAGGCGCGAGAGTCAATGAGGTAGGAACATTCTTTCGCGCTGAACAAGACACCGCGCTGACACGCGCGGCCAAGCATGGCCGCGAGGAGCTTGTCGACATGCTGCTGCAGCGTGGTGCGGATGTCAACCATCAGACCAACACTTTCATCAATGTGTTCAACGTGTTGAGCAAATGTGAGACCAAGAACGGCAACGGCACCACTGCGCTGGAGCTTGCAGCCCTCGCAGGAAAGCCGCGGGCGGTCGAGGCGCTGGTGCGACACGGCGCGGAGATCGATCGCATCAACAGCTGTGGACCGAGCTCGCTAATTATCGCAGCCGCAGGGGGCCATGAGAACGTCGTCGCCACACTGCTACAGGGTGGTGCTGACATAAACCGGGGGGTGGCACAGGAGCGCCAGAGTGGTTACATACGCAACGGCATCACCGCGTTGATGTGCGCCGCTGGAAATGGCCACGAGCCGGCGGTCGAAATGCTAGTGCGGCACGGCGCGATAATAGACCAGCAAGATAGCTACGGACGCACCGCGCTGATAGACGCCGCCGAAGGCGGCCACGAGCGGGTGGTCGAGAAGCTGCTGCAGTGCGGGGCCGACCTCCACCAGCATTGCCGTCACGGCAGCGCACTGATGGAGGCCGCCTACATGAACAGGGAGCGGGTGGTCAAAACGTTGCTGCGGGCAGGAGCAGATCCAGTGGCACGCGATGAAACGGGCAGCACTGCGTTGCAACGTGCTCAGGAAGGAGACAGCGCTGAGTGTTTGCAAGTTATCAAGCAACATCTGGCGGAGAAGCGACGGGAGGAGCGCGCGCTCGAGGCCAGGACGCGGCGCGAGCAGCGCGCACGAGCAGAGGAGGCGGCGGCACGTGAGCGCCAGCAGGTGGCGCGCAAGCGCGAAGCAGAGCGTGCCGCGGACGCGGCGCGCAGGGCGGCAGAGGCGGCGGCGCTGGAGGAGCAGAAACGGGCCATTGCGGCAGAGACGGAGGCGAAGCTGGCTGCTGAGCGCGCGGCGGCGGAGGAGGAGGCCCGGGCAAGGGAGGTGGAGAGGCTAGCAGCGGAGGAGGTACTACGTGCGGAGCAGCGGGCGGCGGCGGTAGAGCGCAGCGCCGCGAGAGCCGAGCAGGCGCGGCGCTCGGAGGAAGAGGCCAGCAGGAGGGCGGACGAGGAGAAGGCAAGGCGGCTAGCAAAGGCGGCGGAGCAGCGCGCGGCCAAGAAGGAGGCCAAGGAGAAGAAAAAGGAGGCCAAGAAGGCGCCGTCCGCCTTCGAGCTCGAGGAGCTGCGGAAAGAGCAGGCCGCGGCAGAGCTTCGCGCGCAGGAGGAGAGGGCGGCGCAGCTAGGACGCGCAGGAGGCGGCGAGGCGAGCGCAGAGGGAGGCTGCAGAACTAGCGGCTGCGGACCGCAAGGCGGCGGAGCGGGCGGCGGAGCGAGAGGCGGCTGAGGCGGTGGAGCTAGCGGAAGCGCTGCTTCGCGTGTCGGAGGCGGAGGCGGAGGCGGAGGCGTTGGTGCTTCGAGTGGCGCGGTGCGAGGAGGAGATGGGGGGCGAGCCTGTCAGTCACGGGGCGGACCTGCCACAGCGGGTCGACCTGCTGGAGCGCCTCCTCGGCGTGCCGAGCGAGGATGGGACCCTCGAGGCGCGTGTGCGAGCTGTCGAGCGCCTGATTGGGCCCGAGGTGGCGCAGTTGGCAGATGGGGCATCGACATCCGTGTCGGCGACGGGTCAGCGCCCGTTGCCCGTCATTGCGCCGCTTGCGGCCGTCTCGCTGGCGGACGCCGACTTTGACACGGGTCGGCGAGCTGTCCCCGAGTCCACCATGGGGGGAGAGACCACGTGTATCGTATGCTTTGCGCGAGCGAAATCGCATGCCGCGGTCCCGTGCGGTCACGTGTGCGCTTGCGGACCATGCTCACGGCGGGCGGGCGGCGGCGCCGGACCGTGTCGATGGCGGCGAGCAGCCTCGGGTTGTCCGCCCACGGTCGAAGCCACTCGTAGGAGTACTGGACCCCGGGGCTGGAGATGACGTGCTGGGACCCGCGGTCGCGGAAAGCGGCCTTGCGCGCAGCGTCGGAGGCCGCCCTGGCCCGGCGCCGAGCCTCGGGGTCACCCTCGGCGCCCTCCTCCTCCCTGGACCGCGCCTTCGCCGTGTCCGCGACCCACCGGGCGTGCTTGGCGCGCCTGTCCGCCTGCGGCTGCTTGCGCGCGTAGCACACGGTCCGAAAGTAGTGCGCCGCTGAGCCCGGTCGAGCCTGCTGCTGCAGGAGCCGCATGAAGCCTTCGCGACCATCCTTCCAACGCGGGTCGCCCGCGTCGCCTCGGTAGGACCGGTCGCATTTGAAGAGATGCTGATAAAGGCCGCACTTGGCTCCAACGGTCGCGCACCATTTGCCGCATCCGGGGATCGGGCACTGGTACACGCCCATGTCCATGCACTCCGTCTCGAAGAGGTCGGCGCCAAGCTGATGCGAGGCGAACTCGCTGTTGAGGTGGGTGGCGAGGCGGGTGAAGGAGCGCGCCTCGTCTGCGTTGCCAAAACCTCGAGGACCCGCCCAGGTCGGCAGACAGCGGGAGCACCCAACAGCGACGGTAGGGTCGGCGAGGGAGAAATGGGGGCAGCGGACCTCAGGCACCCCCTGCGGGCGGAAAGCCGAGGGCACGCCTTCGTCGAGGTCGTCGCCACCACCTCCATCGGCATCGTCGTCCTCGGGGCAAACAGGGCAAACGTCGTCGGCCGGCGGCTGCTGCGGCCGGGACGGCCCGGACGGCGGCGGGGCGTCGACGTCGATAGGCGTCGCCGCGTCGCCAGCCGCGCCCGTCGCCGAGGCCGCAGCGCTGCCCGAGGGGCCCGGCCCCGGCGCATCGTCCCGGAGCGCTGCCGATGCTGAGGGCGGCCCCGGCCTCGCTGGGCGAAGCTGGCGGTCCCTGCCGAGGACCTCCGGGGCGCCGCCCACACCAAAAAGAATTCTCGACTACTGTGGGGCGTGATGGTGACATCCTCCCCAGATGACGCTGCCCACGATGACGCTCCAATCAATCTCCTGTCTGACCTCCCGCCTGACGTCCTCGTCCTGATCCTCGCCCGGTACCACTGCCACTTCCACCACGCTTCTCTGTCAAACACACTTGTCTCAGCACAACCCGACCCGCCGGGGACGCACCGCTCAGGTGCCGGAGCCCGGCCGACGTCTCCGCCGCCGGCACAACTGCTTCCATCTTCCACGGCAGCGGCGACTACGCGGGCGAGCGCTCCCTCGCGGAGCAGGCGCTCCGCCTCCGCGCGGCGGAGCGAGGGTACGACCTCCCTGCGGAGGTGCGGTCCGTGCGCCGCCTCTGCTTCCTCGCGCTGCAGCACGAGGCGAATCGGCTGGCGAAAGTGGCTGCCGGAAACCAGCACAGCCTCTTCACCGGGCGAGACGGCAGCGTCTCAACCTGCGGCTCGGAGTCTCGCGACCTCGCCGGCCTGCTGGGGCACGGGGAGGGCGTCACACGCCTCGCCACGCCGTCGCCGCTCCCGCCGCTCCCGCAAGGAATGTCTGCTGCGGGGGTGGTTGCGGGCAGCTACCACTCCCTGCTCCTCGCCGACGGCGGCGGGCTGTGGAGCTGGGGGACAGGTCAACACGGCCAGCTCGGCCACGGCGCCCGCCTCTCCGAGCGGCGGCCGAGGCGGGTCGAGGCGCTCGCGGGGCGGAGCGTGGTCGCGGCGGCGGCGGGCCTCTCCCACAGCGTCGCGGTGACCGCCGACGGCGCCATCTTCAGCTGGGGCGGCGGCAAGTTTGGACAGCTCGGGCACGGGGACGAGGCGCCGGGCCGAGAGAGCGAGGGCCGAGAGAGAGCCGAGAGGAGCACGAGATAGGGTGTGTCCGTAGGAGCCACGGCTCCTCCCTGAACTGATCGAGGCCCTGGCTGGCGAGCGGGTCGTCGCCGTGTCGGCCGGGCAGAGCGGCTTCTCGCTCGCCCTGACGGCGGACGGCGCCGTCTGGAGCTGGGGCTTGGGGACGAGTGGGCAGCTCGGGCACGGCCCCGTCACCGCCCTGGCTCTGCCGAAGAGGGTGGAGGGCTTGGCCGGTCAGCTGGTCATCGCGGTGTCGGCGGGGTACGGGCATGCTCTCGCCATCACCGCCGATGGCGCCGTCTGGAGCTGGGGCGACGCTGTTGCCGGCCAGCTAGGCCACGGAGGTATGAAGTCGAGGCTCCAACCCTCCAAGATCGAGGCCTTGGAGGGGCGGCGCGTCGTCGCCGTGTCGGCGGGGGGAGGCCACAGCCTCGCCCTCACCGTCGACGGCGCCGTCTACAGCTGGGGCACCGGGCCTCTAGGGCGCATCGGGCGCGCGGCCGCCTTCACGCGGCACTCGGTGCTCGCCAGTGTGCATGGTGCACACCGCCGCCCCTCCCTCCCTCCCCGCACCGCTCACTCCCCGCCCCCTCCCTCCATATAACGTCTTCCTTCCTTGACCCTCCGACCGCCAGCAGCTCGCCGCGCACAGGCACGCTCTCCAGCCAGCTTTTGCCGGAGAGAGTCGAGGCGCTCGCGGGGCGGGGCGTCGTTACCGTGTCGGCGGGCGCCTTGCACAGCCTCGCGCTGGCGGCTGACGGCAGCGTCTGGGGCTGGGGAGAGGGGGCGAACTACCGCTTGGGCGACGGCGAGAATTGCGCGCACGCGCTGCCCGTTCGCGTCGTAAAGTAAGGTCAAACGAGCGATAAAGTGAGGCTGAGAGCCTCGGCAGTGTACAGTGAGTCAGCCCACCTGTGCCCTCTGAGCGGACGTGTGAGAGGGAAGCTTCCGCTTTTGTCGCGCCTTACAAAATATCCAACACTGACTCACATGGCCACTGATCATGCATGGCACTCCACGCACACACAACACACATGGGATAAACCCAACCAACATGCAAAAACGATGGACATGGAGCATGTGCGGATGTGGACAAAATGGGTTTCAATGCACGAACAACGAGACAGCGAGACGGACAGACTCTAGAGAGTCGCGTGATGATCGAGCGTGACGGTCAACGAGAGCCCCGAGAGTCGAGGTACTCCCAAGAGCGTGTCTACTCCCGCGCTTCGTCAAATGCCTCTGCCACCGCGTCTGAGGTCAACGCGAGCCCAGAGCGCGCACGGGGGAGGGGCTCCCCGCCGCTGCCCCGCCTGCCGCGCGACGACGAGATGGAGAAGCACCCCGAGACGCGCTCGGAGAAGCGCCCTGAGACACGCTCCGAAAGGCGGCCCGACACGTCCGCGACCTCGTCCGAAGCCCAGCGCTGGCCCGCGATGACGAGTCGGCCGGCGCCGCGCAGCACAGCCATGAGCTGTCGTCGCGCCGGCTTCTTGCTGCTCATCTCGCCCACGCGCATCGCCCTGGCGAGCACCCTGTCCGAGCCGGCGGGGAAGAAGAAGGCGAGGTGGCGGAGGAGGCGCGTCTTGATGGCGCCAGCGAGCGTGCCGTCGATCGAGTAGAAGACGTCGCGCCGCCCGACAGCGTGGGCGGCCACCATGATGGCGGCGCATCGGTCGGGCGACATGCTCTTCTTGGTCAGGTCGAGGTCGACCGCGCCGTCGCCGGTGCCGAGGCGCGCATTGTTCACGGGCGTGTTGACGGCGCCGGGATACGCGAGCGTGACGGTCGGCGGGACCGGCTCCGAGATTCCGAGCTCGACGCGCAGCGTGTTGAAGAAGCCCTTGAGCGCGAACTTGGAGGCCGCGTACCCTGTACGCCACGGCACGCCCTCGACTAGACCCACGACGCTGCTCACCACCAGCAGGCGGACACCGCCCTCGGCGCGCCGCATCGAACCCATGCACGCGTTGAGCACTCCCACGGAGCCGATGTAATTTACATCCATCAGGCGCTTCATTGTGCCCATCGCCTGGTTCTGTTCGCAGAGCGACACAAACGGCGCGCCCATCGCGATGCCCGCGTTGAGAACCAGCAGGTCAACGGCGGCCGGCACGGCGCCCCGGACGGCCGCCCACCCCTCCTCCGTGGAGATGTCGGCGACGACCGCCTGCGCGCTGCTCGCGCCGAGGGCCATGCACTCCTCGCACACCCGCTCGAGGTCGGCCCGCCGCCGCGCAACAAGCGACAGCTTGGCACCCTCCGCAGCGTAGGTGCGGGCGAGGCTCGTTCCGATGCCAGACGAAGCGCCCGTGATCACGACTACCTTGTCCTTTGCCGACCACCGCCGACGGTCGAGACCGACGCGGCGGGCCATCTTCTCGAGGCCAGCCAGCCCCTGAGCCAGAATGTGGAGGCAGAGGCCGAGGAGCAGGCCGAGGAGCGTGCCGAGGAGGATGCGAGGGGTCTTGGTCTCCTCTGCCTCTCTGTCATCTGTGTACACCACCACAGACTCGCCGCTCGCGGCGTCTCGGTCTGGCTTGAGGGCCTCAGACTCGGAGTATGGCTGGGCCACCTCGCACTCCTGCAGGACGCTGAGCGGCATCCTCCGGCGTTGCACCAGTGAGCTGGACAGTGAACTGGTCCACAGCGTCGACATGGCTTGGACTGAGCAGGGCGTCCTCCTGAAGGAGTTCGGATCTTTGGCGGTCTTGACACGGCAAAAAGAATTTTTCATGCGAAGAGGGCGTGGACTGGCGCACACTAGACACATCGGCACACGAGCAAAACGGATTTTACAAGAACCAAGCAAGGGCGCGCCGCTGGCACTAACACGGGCAAAAAATCAAACACTCCCGCAAGGGAAAGAGAATTTAGACAAAACAACTCTCTCTCACAGCAGACAGGCTCGACACAGGTGCGAACTGGGAAAGAGAAACCCCGTGGCGCAACAGGCACGCACAGACTGGCGCGCTCTGGCACGGAGATAAAGAAAACGGACACGAAACCCCATGGGCATTGCGAGCCCATTCCGAATATCGGCATTCCCTGTGCGCTGTGGTGCTTGGACGTGCTTTTAAGCGGCGTCTGCAGAGTCACCAGTCGTACTCGTACACAGCCCGGGGCGGACAGGCTCATTGTTGTGTTTGTCAGGCTCATCGGTAGATGGGTATTATTTTCTCAAAATAGCTCCGCGAACGGGCTCGCCGCCGCAAGCAGCCCAAAGCACTCCACAAACCACCACAGCAGCACCAGCTGCGTGCCGACGTCGGCGGCGAGGGAGAGCTGTGACGAGCCCGCGCCGCGCAGCAGCAGCAGCGCGACGAGCAGGCCGAGCTTGAGCCGCCCCTTAGCCCAAAAGTGCTGGTGGTACGGCTCGGCGGGCGTGAAAGCGGGCGGCGCCTTCGCCACGACCGTGCAGGGAGGATCCTTGCCGGCGGCGACGTAAGCTGCGGCGGCGCGCTCGACGTCAGCGGCCGCCAGGAGGCGCTGCGCCTCGTCCGTTGGCCAGAGAGCGGAGCGGTACTGGTCCTCCTTGCCAGGCGTAGTCAGCGAGGCGTCGTGGTTGGCCCAAAAGACACGCAGCAGCGCCTCATAGCTTACCTCAGAGGGATCATACGTCACCCTCACGGCCTCAGTGTAGCCGTCTCCGGAACACACGGGAAAATATGATGGAGGCTCGAGGTTAAGCCGCGGCTCGACACTTGCGTAGCCTGTCAAAACGCTCTCGACACCTGGCATGTCCTGGAATGCCTCTTGCGGTGCCCAGAAGCAGCCCATGCCGAAGATTGCCGTCTCGGAGGAGGAAGCCATTCGTGGGTGTGCACGAGAGGTCGGGCGCGACGTGGCGAGAAGAAGGTGCTGCATGACTTTCCGAGCGAGAGCGAGCCCGTCGGCAGTCGATTTTGGGTAGCGGCGAAGCGCCGGTTTGCGCTGCAAAGTTTTCTCTTTCGCCACACGGGACTGGCGCGCACTGGCACACAGGCAAACGGAAACCAAGAAGATGGGACTGGCGTGCACTCGACCGACCTAACCACGCGTTTCTCCCCTACTCGTGTGTGTGTCGTCGTGCGCCTTGCAGGGTGGATCGGGGTGGGAGTTTGGGGGGGGGGGAGCCTCCCTCACGGCGCCCAACGGGCAGGCGCAGGGCAGCTTGATCAAGGCCGCTCTGGCCGATGGAGGCCTTGAGCCCATTGATGTGTCGAGCCTCGAGGCGCACGGAACCGGCACGCCGCTCGGCGACCCAATAGAGGCGAGCTCCACGGCGGCCGCGATACTAAGCAAGCGCGATAACTCGCAACCCCTGCCCATCGGGTCCGTCAAGGCGTGTGCAGGCCACGGTGAGCCCACCGCCGGCGCAGTTGGCTTGCTCAAGCTTGCTGTGGGCCTTGCAAAAACGGAGGGGTCGCCGAACGCCCAGCTGCAGGTCCTGAACGAGCATGTCGGCGCCGCGCTCGACAGTGCCTGCTGCTCGCTGCCTACTACGCTGAGCTCGGTATCGCACGCGCCGCGGCGTGGCCCGAGGTACGTGGGGGGCATCAATTCTTTTGGCTACAGCGGAACGATCGTGCACTGCGAAATTGGTTCGCTCCCAGGCGTGCCTCCGACCCTGCAGGCTATATCTGGGCCGAGATACGTGCGCAGGGGCTTCGGGTGGCGCCAGACGCCGCACCCTCTCATCGGGGAGCGCGTCAAAGGAGCCCACGCTCACTCAAAAACGTTCCAAACACAAGCGATGGGACCGCTGCTGCAGATCGTCGCGGACCACGTCGTGCAGGGCCGGGTCGTCTTCCCCGGCGCGGGCTACATGGAGATGGCGCGCGCGGCTGCTGTCGCCCTCTCGAGCGGCGCCACGAGCGCCACGCTCTCGCGCGTCTTCTTCCTGCAGCCGCTCGTGCTAGAGGGCGACCTGAGCACGCTCGCCGTCAGCATCGAGATCAGCGCCGCGGAGGAGCGGTTCGACGTGACCACCGAGGACCTCGAGGCGGGCACCAAGACGTCCCACTGCGCCGGCGGAGCGACCGCTCTCTCCGAGGCGATGCCCTGCTTCTCCCACGCGGCTCTCCGCGCGTCGTGCACTCAGCCAGTCGACACTGCCGTCCTCTACGCGGGCTTCCGCTCGGTCGGCCTCGAGTACGGCCCGCTTTACCGCACGCTCACCTCGGCGCGCGTCTCGCGAGGCGCCGGCGTCGCCGTTGGCCAGCTGCGCCGCCGCTCGCGCAAGGAGGGCACCAGCGTCCACCCCGCCGACCTCGACGGCTCGCTCCACCTCACTGCCCTGCTCGCCGAGGCGACGGCGGCGGGCGAGATCCGGCTCCCCTTCTCGGTCGGCGAGGCGGCGCTCACCGACGTGAGCGGCTCTCCGTGGCCGGTGGCGGAGCGGCAGGGGGCGGGCAAGGCGGGCGTGTGGATCGGAGCCAAGGACGCGAAGGCGGCTAGGGACTCGCCCGGCGCACGCCTCACCAACTTCGAGACGCGTGCGCTCAAGGCGGCAATGCGGGCGGCTCCGGTGCGCAGGCTCACGCACCTGTACGTCACGTCGTGGCAGGCAGCGACGGTGCCGCCCGCTGAGAGCGCCAGAGCGGCGCTCGTGATGTGCGCCTCTGCTCCGGCCGTCCCAGCCTCGTGCTCCGGCGTGGCACAAGCGGCCGCTCCGTCGGCGTCGATCGGCTCAATTGTGTATGCCGTCGGCCTGAGCACGGGCGCCAAGGCCTCCGACTCGCTCGCCGGCCTGGCTGCTGCCGTCGACGTTGTGCGCATGCAGGTCATCGCGCGCTCCTTGTGTCCCGTGTGGATGGTCTCGGCTGGCGCCCTCGCCGCCCGCTCGGCTGGCACCGGCGCCTCGAGCCAGGCGGGTCTGATGGGCCTGACCCGCCAGGCTCGCTCGGAGGCGCCGCAGTCCTGCCTGCCGCTCCTCGATATGGACGTTCTGCGGCCCGGTGTGACGGAGCTGGCGGCCGGCTCGAACCTGGCCGGCAAGCTCGGCCTCGGCTTCAGCGGCGCCTCGGAGCCCGAGGTAGCCTTCGACGACATGATTCAGCGTGTGCCGCGCCTAGCCGAGGCTGCCGGATCGCTCGGCGGCCCGATCAAGCTCTACTTCGACGCGCGCGGCGCCGTGAGCAACCTGAGAGTGGTGCCTCAGGCAGTGGACGACTCCGAGCCGGTCCCTGGCGAAGTCAAGCTGCACGTCGGCGCGGTCGGCCTCAACTTCCGAGACGTGCTCAACGTGCTCGGCGTATACCCGGGCGACCCGGGCCCGCCCGGAGGCGACTGCGCCGCGCACATTGCGGCCGAGGGACCCGGCAGCTCGCACATCAAGGTCGGTGACGCCGTGCTCGGGCATGGACTGGCTGCCCTCGCGTCGGTCTCCAGGTCGGACGCGCGGCTCGTGGCGAGCATCACAGAGTCGCTCTCCTTTGAGCAGGCCTGCACGCTGCCGACCACTTGGATGACGGTGCACATATCCCTCCTTGCAGCGAGGCCGGCAGCTGGACATGGCGTGCTTCTGCACGCTGGAGCGGGCGGCGTCGGCCTCACTGCGCAGGAGTACTGCCACCTCATCAGAAGCAGCCCATCTGCAAGCGTCGGCCGGCCATACAAGCACTTTTACCTGGCTCGCATGGGCCTCGCCGGCCGCACTGTCAGCTCGCGCGACAGCGGCGCCTTTGCAGTCGGCGCGTCGAGGCTGCTCGGCTCGTGCCGGCTGCGCTTCTCGCTCAACAGCCTGTCGGCGGACTTCATTGCGTGCACCTTTGCGCTGCTGCGGCAGGACGGCTGGCTGTGTGAGATCGGCAAGCGCGCGGTGTGGAGCTGTGAGCGGCTTGAGTCGGCGTCGCTCTCGAGGTACGTGGCGATCGCGCTCGACTCAACCATCGAGCAGATGCCGGTCTGGGTCCGTGACACGCTTCAGCTGCTCTCGCGTCGCGCGGACGCCATTGTGCTCCACGGCCTGCCGTTGCAGACCTTTGAGCTCGAGAGGAGCGTCTTGGCCGCCTTCCGCACGCTGCAGGGCGGCACCAACACGGGCAAGGTGGTGGTGCGCATCCCGAGGACGGCTCCGACGCCACCGCGAGGCGCCCACCTGCTCTCGGGCGGGACCGGCGGCCTCGGCCTGGTCACGGGCAGGTGGCTCGGCGAGGCCGGCGCCGAGTCGGTCGTGCTGGCGGCCCGCGGCGGCAAGGTGGCAGCCGCGGATGGCGAGACGCTGAAGAAGGTGGCGAGGTGCAGCTTCCGCGTGGTCAGGTGCGACGCGGCCGAGCTGACGGACACGGCCCGCATGGCCGGCGCCATCCTGGCCATGCGCACCCCGCTGGCGGGCGTGTGGCACGCGGCGGGCGTGCTGTCGGACGGGCTGCTGCGCGCGCAGACGGCCGCCACCGTCAGGCGCGTCTTCGCGCCCAAGGTGGCCGGCGCGTGGGCGCTGCAGCAGGCGGCCGCGTCATCGCCGCTCGACGCGTGCGTGCTCTTCTCGTCCATCGCGGCGCTGATTGGCGGCGGCGGCCAGTCCAACTACGCCGCCGCCAACGGCATGCTCGACGCACTGGGCGCCTGCCGCCGGACGCGCGCCGTGAAGGCGACGTCGGTGCAGTGGGGTCCGTGGGCGGCGGTTGGCATGGCGGCCGACGCGTCGGTCAACGCTCGCATCCAAGCCAGCGGCGTCGGCCTCATCAGCCTCGAGCAAGGCACGCTGGCCTTGCAGGCAACGCTGCAGCCTTCGGTGCCGGGCGTGATGAGCTTGGCGGTGCTCACCTGGAGCAAGTTCCTCAGCCTGCTCCCGGAGGTGCCGCCACTGATGGTCGACTACGCGAGCCGCAGGGGCAAGGCGGTGACCGGTGGCCCGCGGGGCGAGGTGAAGGAGGTGACGCTGGAGGCGATCCAGGAGACGCTCAAGTCGACGACGGGCGCCGAGGTCGACCCCGACGCGCCGCTGATGGAGTCGGGCCTCGACTCGCTCGGAGCGGTCGAGCTCGGCAACCAGCTGCAGGCGCAGTCAGGCCTGGTGCTGCCATCGACGCTCATCTTCGACTACCCGACCCCGCGGCAGCTGGCGGGCTACTTTAAAGACCAAGTCAGTCCCACAGAGGAGTCAGAGGACGGGGAAGGCACTAACGTGGCCGAGGTTGACTATAACATTGATTTCGACACAGCAGTCGACGACCGCGCGAAGCTCGATGACGCGCTCAGGGCTGACCTCGCTCGATCGCTCGGCGTCGACCCAACCAAGATCAAGATAAAGTCGGTCTCCTCGCAGAGGGTCAAGCAGCTTGACCCTCTCGTTCAAGAGCACCAGGTGTTGTATGCGGAGCAGCCGCAGCGGTGCCGCGCCGGATGTGGCAACCTCTGCTACTCATTCTGCCCAGGCTGCGCCCAGGACGAGGGTGGTGGCCCGGCCGCGGGTTTCTATTGTTGCGGGAAGGAGCGCAACTGTCTTGCAAAGCAGCACTGCAAGCGCTGTTGCGTCAGGCCGTCCATCAACCGCTCATGTACGTACTGATCCGCAAAAGATACGTTGGTAAGGGGGTAGAGGGTACTGTACGTACGTAGTGACTACCCTGTAGTGTTAAGAGATAGTAGGGCAGTTTGGCGAGTGTAATTACGCTGCACCACCCAGCTGAGCGCCCCAAAAATTTTCGAGCATGCGTGAAACGCGCACACAGACACGAATTCCGGCCCGGACGTTCGGCTCAGTAAGAGGCGTCCACTCTCTCGACCCACGAGAGGGCCTCAGAGGCGAGATTGCGGCGGGGGCGGCGGCGGGGGCGAGCTGGGCGGCGGCGGCGCAGCAGCAGCAGCAGCAGCAGCTGCAGGAAGAGGAGGAGGCGCACGAGGAGGCCCACCGCGGCTGCGGCGAGGGAGAGGCCGACCGCACCGACGCCGCAGCTGGCCCCGGAGTCGCGAAGCATAGCGTGCCATTCGCTCACACACAATTGCGTTACCCTCCATTGCCCCGATGCGCTGCGCCGTGCTGTGCTGTGGTTCCTCGGCGCGAATCACCTCTCCGGCACATCGATAGCAGCGGGCAGCTTCGTGGAGGTCACCTGGCGTGCGATTCTCAGGCAAAGAGGTCGAGCACATGCCTGCAATGTGGCCGATGGCCTAGCCGATGGCGCACCGTGCGACTTCTCTCGCACGCCGTTGACATGTGAATTGGGTCGGACGGGGGGGTAGTGGTACCTACGGTGCGAGGGGCGGCTGTGGCTGTGTGGGGTGTGGAGTGCCCAGCTTCCGGCGGGCCGGCGCCGGTGTCTGGAGATCACCGCTGTTCTGCTGCGTGCTGCAGCGCCTCGGCGCGTGGACCGACCAGCGGCCGGCGGCGGCAGGAAGGACGAGGCGCACACGGGAAACGGCTTTAATTGGTAAAGCCGAAAGCCGTACCAACGCTGCCACTGCGAGCGCGTGCGCCCCGGGTGTGCGTCGGGTGTCGGGTGTGTGGGAGGACGGTGTGCTGTGATCAGAGTACTAGAGTTGTGGCCCGTGCGGGCCCCCGCCCCCGATGGGGGCGGGGTGGGCGCAAGGAGAGGTCGGCTAGCTGGCGGTGCTCAAGCTCACACACATGGACAAAAAGAATTAATTTTAATTATAGATGATCTGACTGCATCGTTCCTGGCGAGCAAATCGTTGAAGCGTGATCTCGTCGTAGTTGCTGTCATCGCATTTGTACAACGGCGCGTTCATCAGCACCTCAAAGGGCGACATCGCCTTCAACTTCGGCCAAATCTGACCTGCAATCTTCTCTGACAGACCGTCGATCTGCCCAGCCAGACGTTCCTTTGAAGCATACATGGCCGGCAGCTCGGACGCCTGGTCATGGCCATCTCGTGTCAGTCTCGAACCCTCAAGCAGCTGCTCGTAGTCTGTTGCATAAAGCCGTCTGCGCTCCGCGGAGGAATACTTCTGATACAATCCCTCCCAGACCTCGATGCCGGGGATCTTGTACTTCAGACGCTCATGCTCAGCTCTCATGGCCTTAAGCTCCTGCGCCTGGCTGTGGCTGGCGCGAAGATGGTTCGAAAGCGCGTCGCGTGCAAACTCGTAGGGCAGCTGCGGGAAGCCCGCACACGTGAGGTTGTTTTTCACGATCACGTCCTCACTCAGCGTCCGGTAGAGCTCTTCCGACACGCACCAAAGCGGCTTGGTGTAAACCTCGTGAAAGGCACGGAAGTCTCGATACTCTGAGCTGGCCCGCCACTCAATCAGCAAAGCATCTGTGAGTTCACAGCCGTCCAATTTTCGCCCGTCGTCATTGAAGACAAAAGTACAGAGCCACTCATCCATCTCCTCCTCCTCGTTCTTATGGTCGAGATCTACAAAGTTGGCCATGGCTGGCTGGCCAAGCTTGATGAAGTTCTTTGCGCGCTCGCTGCGCTCCACAACCTCCTCCTGACCGTTGCGTACACGAATTCCCTGCATCAATCGATACTCGAACCACACCCCGTTGCTGTACTCCCCATCACTGAACTTTGCGTGGCCCCTCCCGGTGAAGTTGTGCCGTGATCCGTTCCATACCCATTGGCCGTCATAGCACTCCACGCGGGTTGGGCTGCCGGCATTGTCTGTGTACAGCTGCACGCACGCTCCCCTTCCACTTTCGCCATACGGTCGTCCTATGAACACAAAGTCGATTTTAGAAGTCCGAAGCAGATCGTCCCTATCCACGCCTGCCTCAAGGAGCTTTGCAACGCGCTGGCTTGACTGCAAATTGTCGTCTAATATGCGGTTTCCGAGCGTCAGCCGTGGATTGTCGATCGCAACGTAGTCAACGGTCGCCGACGATGGCGGCCGTCGCCCAAGCAGCCCCTCCCACACGCTCCACAGGCGCTCTTTCACGCCACTCGCCGACTCTTCCACCACCATCCGGGTGAGATTGGCCAGCAGGAAGAAGAGTTTGAATGTCGGCGTCGTCAAAGACTCCATGCGCACTGCGCGCTGCTGCTGCTGTCTCTGCTGCTCCCGCCGCACGCCGTCGTCGGCCGGCCGCTGGCGTGCACTGCGGTCTCGCTCCCCTCGAGTCTGCTCGTGGAGCTTCTTCTGTGCTCTCTGGCGCTCCGCCATCTGCTGCACGCGTGCATCGCGCTCCTGCTCCCAACGGCTGTGGTCGGCGTTGAACGCGGCCGCATCTGCGTACAGCTTGCCCGGCCCGATTTCCTCCTCGTGTGGTTCGGCCCGCAGCTTCTTGGGCAGAGGCGGCACGTGGACGGTCGAGGCGCCGGCCCCGGCCATGCGGCGGCTCGATCCACCTTGCGATCGACTTTGGCAAAGCGATTGCAGCACGGCCAAGAAGAAAACTCCAAAAAGAAGAAAATCGTACTAACTCATCTGCAGAACCTCGGCGCACGAGCAGCATGTTCCACACTTGCAGCGTCACACCCAAGACCAAGAGACAACAAACTATCTCTCTCTCCCAAGAGGGAGGATCTACGCCACAAACACACATATCGACACACAGACCCTCTCTCTGACTGTCGACGGGCGCCAACCCGACACCACTACCCGGCGCCAGGCGCCGGCAGTGATAGTCGCCACTCACGCGACGCAGCTTTCCTCGCGGCACGTGATGCAGTGGTGTGGCGCTGTCGGTGGCAGCACGTGACTGGTGCGCTTGGCGCCTGGACGCAGCGCGACGGCCGTGTGCGCTGACGAGCGCCAGCGGCGCATTGCCAGCACGATCACGACGCACCGTGGAGTGAGCTTGGACCGGGCCGAAAGCGGGGCCCACCGAGAGGCGCCGCACCGCGGCTTCAAAGGGACATGCGCCAGCGAGGGAACTGGAGCGAGGGAACTGGAGCGCACCGCTCGCCACAAAGCGCAGCCCGGCGCGCCGACACAGCGAGAAGGCGCGCGCCGCCGACCAGCGGCGCCTCGCAACAGTACATTCCGCCCACGGGCAGCAGAACGCTGGGTAGTCCTGAATCAGAGTCTGATTGCATCTCCGACGCGTGGCTCAGACGCGTGCGCGACGCCGCTGGGTCCGTCCGTGCGCCTGGGAGTGTGTGGACCGGCAGGTGAAGCTGTGGCGGCTGGCTCACCGGCGACTCGCTCGACGCTCGCAGCACCCGGCACCGAGGAAACGGCGCAGCCGGTTCGCATCGCAAGCCACCGCTCAGGCCTGCTGGCAGGCTGCTGCGGACCCTGCGGCATCCGCCGGCCAAGCGTGGAGCCGCCAGGGGGGCCAGGGGCCGACCAAAACGATCGTGCCTGGGCAAATTTTCGGGGCGGACAGAAATCGCGGGAGCTGGCTCTGCTTCTTTCAATGATAGGGAAGAACTAAGATCGAGCTCCTGCACTCCGGCCTCGTTACACGTTAGTCGTTTGCTTGGAGATGGCGGCGTAACTGTATAAGCTTAGATGGCGGCGTATAAGGTACACATATACAATGAACAGATACAGGAGCGACACACAAGTCACACACAGACAAGACACTCAAACGGCATTCGGCGGCGGAATCATGGGCGGAATGTCTGCAAATTGGGCAAGCGTCGCCGACGAAGACGCGTCATCCGCCGCGTCTGACTGGAGACCCGACGTGCCGGCGGTGTCGTCGGCGCCCTCTGCTCGATGCAGCCACGTGGACGCGCTCTCCGTCTCGCGGTGCAACCACGCCCGCTGCCGCTGCCGGACGCCCACGAGCGGGCTCTCCTCTTTTCCACTGACGGCGCCGACCTTCGCGGCGGCCGCGGCGGCCGCGGCGGCCGCCGCCGCCCGCAGCTCTTCAGGGGAGCAGCGGTCCTCGGGCGTCGCCCCGGCCTTGTCCAGTATCCGCCGTGCAAGGGCGGAGACCGGGCTGCAAGAGGCGTCGTCGGCGAGAGGCGCAACGTAGGCGGGGGGCGGGGTGGCGGGGCAAGGCTCGACATCGAGCGGGTGTGCGTCGGAGTCGGAGAGGGAGATGCCGCTAGCGTGGGCAATGCTGAGGACGCCGCTCCCGCGAGCCGGGCTGAAGCCGTCGCCCCCGCCTAGCGCGCTCGCTCGACGCTCGGAGTAGTCGATCGAGAGGCTGACCTGATCCGACACCGCGGGTGCGCGCGTGTGTGCTGCGACTCTTCACAGCTCCGAGGCTTTAGGCCGATGTTCGAGGCCGAGGTCAGGCGGAGGCGTGACGCTCACCTCCGAGACGCGGGGAGTTGATGGGCCGCGGCGCGCCTTTGCGGGGAAGGGGCAGCAGGAGGCGCCAGATAACGCCCGGCGGCGCTGCGGAGGTGGGGGGGGGGGGGTAAGGGGAAGGGGAGAGAGGGGGTGAGCGAGAGGAGTGGGAGGTCGTTGGAGTGAGAGAGGGCCGAGAGCGAGCAAACGCTCACCGTGGCGTGGCGCTTGTAGCAAGTCGCGGCGCCGGCGCAAACCAACAGAAGCGCGGAGGCGGGCATGGCAACCAAGAGCAACACGCTCTGCTCGGTGTCCGCGTCGCCGTCGTCCGCCGGCAAAAGATCTGCGCTGCTGCTTTCGGGCGCGGCACACTCGCACGCCAACGAGTGACGCCGTCCGCACGTCACCTAGTCGTAGTAACCTTAGTTCAGACCTGATCCCTGTCCACGCCCAAACGACTAGCGACAGGAACGCGGCTTCACTCCCACAAGGGCCTGGGAGACGGGGGCGCAACGCAAGTCACCTTGCTGCTCGCGCGGCAGTTGGTGGACGAGCGCATGTAGACGGAGCTGACGCAGGAAGTGCCTATGGCAAGGCAAGCTGAACTCCTCCACACTGACAAGTGAGTGGAGGGGGTGCTGCTGGGAGCCGCCATGTGCGCGGCGTCCGATCTGCTGAATGGGAGTTACATGCTGCCACCACTACTAGGCGGGCGGCGCCGGTGCGCTCGCAAAAGGCGGAGCACGAGCCGGTGTCGGTGGCAGCCTTGTAGTAGACGCAGCTGAGGACAGAGGCGGGAGGGGGGGGGGAGGGCTCGGTCGCCAGGCGGTCTGGGAGGTGAGTCCAAGAGGCGCCTGTGGCCGTCGCGGTTGAGGTCGTGGCATGTCTCGAGCGAAGCGTCGTGCCGCAGCACGTGGGCGGCGCAGCGGGCGTCCGACCGGCTGAGGCGGCCGTCGGATGTGGGCGGCAGTGGCAGCATGGAGTAGCACGTGTACTCCTGCGCGTAAGCAGAGGTCCCTGCCGCCGCCTGACCGGAGCTGGTGAGGTAGCGCACGCAACGCGGAAGCCCCGCATTCTTGCAGCCGTCGTGGTTCTCATCAGGGCTAGCGGCCCACGCGATGGCTGCGCAAGTCACTTCGCCTTGGCAGAGCGCCGTGCAATCGAACAACGACTCGCAGCCTTGCGATACCTCGAAAGTGACAGCGTCCGGTTGGCCACCCTCGCGGCAGTAGCCCGTGCCAACAACGAATGCAGGCGCCAAAGGCGGCGGCGGCCGCGTCGGCGGCGGAGGCAGAGGCGGCGGCGGAGGCGGGGTGGAGGACGCACACTCACGCCAGCCCGCGCCTCGGAACAAGGTGGACGAGGTGTCGCTACCGCAGCTCGAGGGGTCGACGACGTAGCAGAACTCGTACGACCCGACGTGTACAGCGCAGCCAGGACGATCTGTAGGCACCCCGCCGCTCACGCCGTCCGACGCGCAGTCGCAAGCGCCTAAGAAGCTCCGAGAAGCGTGAGCTCGGAGAGAGTTCGGCGAGGGGTTCGCGGGAGCGGCGGCAAGCGGCACCCAGAGCCTCCCCCGCGCAGCCGACCACCCGCACCGCATCTACGTACTCCCAAGCCGCAGAGTCTGTCCGCGACGTGAGGCGTATGCGGCTCGTGAGGGCGGTTGGCGCGAGGAGCGAGATGACCTTGTCGAAGCCGCAGGCCGTGTCGTCCCCGCCCTCCCACGCCACCGCCCACCCCCCTCGACCCGCCTCGGCCTGCGTCCACGCCTCGACCCTCTGCAGGAAGCCGGCCGCCTCGCGCGGGTTGGCGTGCTCGCGCACCGCCACCTCCGCCACCCGCACCGGCGAGGCGAAGGACACGGTGAGCTGGTACGTGCCTTGGTCCCGCCGGGCGGGCGCCCACGAGCCTGCCTTCAGCGTCGCGCAGTCGCCCTCGTTGTGCGAGGGCGGGCCGACCGCCTCCTCCTCTGCCCAGTCTCCGCCGTACTCGGACGACGCGTACGCCTCTGCCGCGTACTGCGTCACCTATAGCCGAAGTCGACGTCGAAGTGTGCCCGAAGTGTGCCGAGATATGACCGCCCTCTCTCCGCGCAGCCAGACCTCGTCGCACGCTGGCGCAGCACACTCGCACGCCCACGCGTTGGTCACCCAGCACGCCACCCCAACCGTCCCTCCGGAGCCTAAGGCAAGGTAAGGGTAAGGTCAACTCCTCCGCACACAATAAGGCGGTGGGGCGAGGCGGCCCTCCCCGGAGCCTATACACCGCCCCCCGAGAGGTAGCCGAGACATGCCCGAGATGTGACCCCCCCTTTCAAAGAGGGATAGAGGCGCGCACGCCGCGGCCGGTGGACACGCACACGCCCCATGTCCATGCCCATGTGCTCCGCTCTCGGCTAATCTCGGGTTGATCTCGCGCCGCAATCGGTGGGCGAGCTCATGTAGACGGAGCTGACGCAGGAGGTGCCTAAGGCAAGGCAAGGCAAGCTGAACTCCTCCACACAGGTGAGTGGAGGGGGTGCTGCCGGGAGCCGCCATGTGCGCGGCGTCCGATCTGCTGAATGGGAGTTACATGTTGCCACCACTACTAGGCGGGCGGCGCCGGTGCGCTCGCAAAAGGCGGAGCACGAGCCGGTGTCGGTGGCAGCCTTGTAGTAGACGCAGCTGAGGACAGAGGGGGGAGGGGGGGGGGGGGCGTCCACTGATGCCACGCTACAAACCAAACAGTCTCCACCGCCCGCGCACGGTGCACGCACACGGCGCGCACATGACACACGCGTACATTCGATCACCATCAGGAAGGAAAGGACGGCTCCACCTCGACGACGTGGAACTCGACGCGGTCGCGCACGAGCCTGTGCGTCTCGCCCGTAGGGTGCATGTACGTCAGGGGCGGGTACAGAAACTCCTTCTCGTGCGGGAAGGCAGAGAAGGCACTTATGTCCACGCCCGTGTTCAAAAGTGCACGCGTGCCCCTTACCAGCGGAATTTCCGACGCCGTTCCGGCGCCACTTATGGGAAGAGGCAAAACATGCAGCACTCAGCCTTCCCTCCCCCTCCCGGATGGAAGTACTACCTGAGCTCGACCGTGCTTGACTTCGCTGTTCAGATGGGAAGCGGTAACCCACGGTGATATGGCCGCATGTGATGAGTGCTTGGGCTATCTCGGATCAAGTAGTCAACGTTTTGGGGCGTCGTCGGAGTCTGTCTGTTCATTCACAATCTGCTCTGCGATGGCCGTGCGAAGAACGACTGAGATATGCTTCTTTCCCCTTCTTTTGGTAACGCAACGAAGAAGAGATCATGGGCGGCAGACGTCAGCTGCAGCAGGGCAGCACGATGGTAGTGCCCTGCTGCAGCCTGGCCTGACATGCACAGGGCGAACAGAGACGGTACTATCGTCCGGCGCTCGTCACCGAACCTGGGCGAACTTCGACCGCCGCCACAGCTCGCCACGGAGCACGCTGCAGCGACAAAATGTTGACTTTACTAAGTTGAGGCTGGTCGAGAGGACGAGGCTGCCGTGCGAGCCGGCAGCAGGCCGGCTCGGCGTGGACTGCCGCGGCGACTTTTATGGGCTTCTCTGTTCATAGTACCGTATACGGTACTATGGTTTACCCACACTAACCGAGTACACCACACTAGCGAGTAGCGAGTGGGCAACTCGCGCGGCGGCGCAGGTCGCCTATTCTCTCCCTCCGACGGCAAGCCACTGGTACATGGCTCTCCAAGACCCGCGACGCTCCTCGGAGCCGTCGTGGCGCGCGGCCGTCGGCAGCTCGTCCGCCGACGGCATTCGCCGCGCAAAGCTCGCCCGCCTTGCGCTCGCCGCTGCCGTCGTGTGCCTGGGCCTCGGCCTCGGTCTCGGCCTGCCGTCGGAGCGGCGGCCAAGCGGCTCTTGCCCAGCATCCATCTCGGGCGGCCTGTCTGGTGTCCTCGGCTGGACGTATTTCGCGGCGTGGTCGGCGTCCTTCTACCCGCAGGCGATACAAAACTATGTGCGCCGTTCGGTGGTCGGGCTGTCGTTCGACTTTGCGCTGCTCAACCTGATTGCGTTCGGCTGCTACTCGGCCTTCAACCTCGCCCTCTTCCTCTCCCCCACCGTGCAGGCCGAGTACGCCGCGGCTCACCACAGCAGCAGCGCGGTGGGCGAGAGCAGATTTAACTTACATATTCGCCACCTATCCTACCCAGCGAGAGCGAAGAGCAGATGTCACCGTGACCTGGCGAGTCCGCGGCGGAAGCGAGATCGCACCACGCGCACCACAACTGCAGCGCGGCGAGATGTAGCCGAGATACAGCCGAGAGGTTAGCAGAGGCTGGTCCTGCAGCTGCAGGCTCGGTGAGCTCGGTGAGACACAACCGAGGTATACCCGGGGCTGGTCCTCGCGGCGCACCACAGCAGCGGCGCCGCGCCAACCGACCCGACGCCTCCCTCGCGCCGCGAGTGCCGAATCCTCCACGCCACCACCCGATCTCACGCCACCACCCGGGACCAGGTGCGGCCAACGATGACTTGGTGGCCTCACAGCCAATGCACAAGAACAGGTGCGGCCGAACGACGTCTTCTTCGCGCTGCACGCGCTGCTCATCTCCGCCGTGACGCTGCTGCAGGCCTCTTGCTCTACGAGTGCCGAAAGCAGCCCGTCTCCGCACCGCCTCTGAGCCGCCTCTGGACCTGCCCCAGGTCTTCCTCTACGAGCGGGGAGGCCAGACTTTCTCCCTCCCCGCGAAGGCCGCCTCCGCAGCCATTCTGCTCGGCGCGGCGGTTGGCGCGGGCCTAGCGGCGGCTCGTCCGGCACGCTTGCTGGGCTGGCTCGCCGGCAACCTTCCGAGAGCTCTCGGAGCCTTGCTGTAGGCTCGCCCGATACGGTGGCTCGACTGGCTGGCGTACCTCAACGCGCTCGCCGCGGTCAAGCTGGGCGTGACGCTGGTCAAGTACCTGCCGCAGCTGCTGCTGAACGCGCGCCGCCGCTCGACTGCCGGCTGGTCCTCTCCGGACCTTCTCTGGGCCCTCTCTGAACCTCCTCTCAACCGTCCTAGGCGCGCCGCCGCTCGACTGCCGGTTGGTCGATCGACAACGTTTGCCTCGACTTGCGCGGCGGAGGGTCGCGGCTTTCCACTTATGCCTCGCGCCCTTCTCGTTTAGGTGTGCCTCGACCTGTGCGGCGGCTTGCTCTCGCTGACGCAGCGGCGGCTCGACGCGGGCTGCTCTTCACACCCTCTCTGTCGAACCCGCGCATCTTTCTGTTCAGGCAGCTGTTGCTCGACGCGGGGTGCTCGGACGACTGGAGCGCGGCGAGCGGAGAGCCGCTCTAGTGTACGGCCCGCGCACTTCTCTGGCTATGACCCACCCCTCTCTCTCGCAGGTGAGCGGGGACCCGGTCAAGTTTGGGCTCGGGCTCGTGTCGATCGTCTACGACGGACACCTCTGTCTAGATGCCCCGACCAGCTGACCCATCCTCAAGCTAGCGCACTCGAGAACACGGGCACTCGTTCGTGTGTGCTAGCCTGAGGATGGGTCAGCTGGTCGGGGCATCTAGACAGAGGTGTCCGTCGTAGACGATCGACACGAGCCCGAGCTCAAACTTGACCGGGTCCTTGCTCACCAGTGTGAGAGGGGGCTGGGGACCGGCACGCCGCCTCTGCTGCCGGCGGCCGGAGCCAGCCCAGCGAGCGAGGCCGCCCGCCGCCAGAGAGCCGCAGGCCGTGGGACAGCGCCGCCGGCGTGCACAGCCTGAATCTCTCTGGACACGTCTCTCGCGTGAACAGGCTCGGGCGCGAGCGCCGGCAGCGGGCTGCTGGAGCGTCTCTCGCCGCAACCCGAGCCTGTGGCCGATCCCGAGGCGGCGGCGACCGGCGAGGTGGGGGGCTAGGCCTACGGCCCGCAGTCATCCCGTTTCTCCCGCGTTTTGTCGCGCCATGTCCCGTGCGCGACGCCGGTAATGGGGAGCTATGATTGCTATGTGTATGACTATGTGTGCCCAGACGCCAGAGGGGAGAGGCGAGACGCGGGGCGCGGGGGCCGTGCCCGTGAGGTGCCTGGTCGCTGGTGCTCGAGAGCGCGTCGAGTCATGAGTGGTGGCGGCAAAAGCCACTTTGTTGTGCTGTTTCAACTGTACTGTGCTGTCATGGTTGGTTGTACTCGACAAACTGGTGTACACACACATTGAACAGGGCGGACAATTTGTGCTCTCCATTTCGGGCATGCGTGAGGGCATGCGTGGCGTGAGGGCATGCGTGAGAGGGCCACGTGTGGGAAGGGGGGGCGGGGACTAGCGCTCCCAGATGCATCCAGCGGCACGCGTCTACCGCGGCGCTCTCACAACGATCTACTAGATCTACTGTACACGCATCGCGCAGTGCCAGCACCGGTGCCGGTCTCACGACGTCCGACCAGCCCACGGCGTGGGGAAGGAGCGGCACAGCGGCAAGCGACGCCCCATCCGACCCCCACTGCTCGCCAATTCCTCGCGACTAACGAGCTGAGGCCCACTGCTCCGCCGCCACGGACGCCACCTCGTCCAGATCTTCAAGCTCGTCCACAAGCATCGCAAACTCGTCCTCCACCATGTTAAAGCCCGAGTCGAGGTCGCTGGAGCTGCTCGAGGCGGACAGGGCGGGCGTCTCGGGCGGCGAGTCGTCCCGCCAGAGGACCCCTTGGCCGTGGGAGAACTTGTGCAGAGGCTCGGTCATAGGGTTTTTTGCGGCCAACATCACTCGCATTTGGAGAAGGCAGGCATGCCGGAAGGCGCGCTGCGGGTCCTCTCGCTGCAGCTTGATCCCTGCCCGAACGGCCTGGACGACGGCCATGGCGTTTGGGGCCGAAGCGCTCGCTGTATCGTCCTCGCGGCGCCTCTTCACCATTGTATATTTGGCCTCAGTCGGTCCGGATCTCTCATCGGATCTCTACGAAACAAATGATGGTGCGAAAAATGAGAAGAGTCGTCCAGGGCCTTGCGCGACCTTGCGCGAGGAGAGCTCGATAAACTCGAGGGGCCAAAATATGCCGCGAGGAGGGCAGAGTTGCGCCGAAAGGCGGGAGAAGCTGAGGGAGCGGCAGGCGGCGGCGCCGTCCGTCGCAGAACGAGGCAGACAGAGGAGAGCAACGCGACAGAGGATCAAGCGACAGAAGAGAGAACGACGAGAGTGGGACGACCGCGAGGTGGCATGAAGGTTGCAGCGAGAATCGGCGAGGGACTGTGCGAAGAGAGATAGGAAGAAGCAGACGCCCAAGGGCTAGGGTGGGCGACGGCTAGCACCCACTCCTCTCCTTAAAATCCCTGTGTGGTGGCGGCGTGCCGTCCTCCCACTCCTCCCTTGGGTTGTCTGTTTTCTTTCTTTATTTCTGCTCTCCGCCGAGCAAGTGGGCCTGTCGGCTCGCTCCAGCCTTCGAGCTTCGTCTACCCTGATCCCTGTCAGGGTTCGAATGATCTGTTTTGCTGCCCGAACGGCCGCGAGGCGGCGCCTCCTCCGCTCGCTCGCTCGCGGAGGAAGGAGGCGATCGAACCTTCGATGAGCCACCCGAACCTTCTTTTGTTGTAAAATTCTAGGCGACCGCCCGTGTTGTAGGCTCGTCGAAGTTAATTGAGTAGTTACAGAAAGAAAGAAAGAAAACAGACACAAGGGAGGGATGGGAGGACGGCACGCCGCCACCACAGGGATTTTAAGTAGTTACAGAAAGAAAGAAAGAAAACAGCGTCGGAGGGAGGGATGGGAGGACGGCACGCCGCCACCACACAGGGATTTTAAGGAGTGTGTGGTTACAGGACGATCGGAGGGGTCCCGCACCATGCGGAATCGACCCTGTCAAGTGCCGCGGTGTGAGAAAAAATCGCGGGCGGGCGCGCGGTGCGGTGCGGCGTGTGCGTGTGTGCGACTGCGACAGGGGACCGCTCGAAAGGGACCATTGGGCTTGTACTATTAACAACGAAGGCGCTCTCAAAAAAAAGAAAAAATCTCCGGATTGCTTGGTCTCTGGTTTGCCCGTCAGCAGCAGCAAGTGGGCCCGTCACCCTGCCGTCACTCTCCAGCCATTATGCGTGTGCACACGGTGCTCCTCGTCGCCTGTAGCGCGAGCTCGTCTCGTGGCTTGCTCTGCGACTGCGCCGCAGAGCGGGCATGCCAGAATCGTGACGCCCGGTTAGCGACCATCTCTCGTGAGATACGGCAGCACGCGTCAGTCGACGAGTGGCCGCTCTCGAGGAGGCTCTTGTCGGGCGAGAACGAAGCAGCAGCTTTGGTCCAAGGGCACACGTACGACGGCGGCGATTGCTACTCCTTTTGCTGCCTCAAACCCTCCCGCCGTGCACCGTCCTCGCCTGCGTCGGTGATCAAGGCGCTCTGCCGCACTTTTGTGTTCATTGCCGGCGTTGCGCTCTTCCTCGGCTACTGTGCCATCCTCGCCACGGGCCAGCCAGACTCTCCCGCCCTCTCGGCAAAGGCTGCGGCGGAGGAGACCATGCGCAGGAGAGCGGTGGCGGAGGAGCTGCTGCATGCGGCCGCAGCGAGGGAGGGCGTAAAGCCGCCACAGCCGTTCATAGTGAAGGTGGACTCAGACTCCGCGCCTCCGCCTCCGCGTGCGTTCCTGTGGTCCCTCGTCTGGGACGCGGTCATGCCACGGCTTCAAGCTGTGGCGGCGCTGCAGGGCAACGAGCGGCCTGATGACTCACAGCCCGCACCCCGCGCACCGCCCGCTCCCCTCCCACCTCCGTCGCCGCCCAGCTTGCCACCCCGCCGTGACTCCGTTTGCCGGGTGCTCAGCACGCTGTGGAGTGCCGACCGGGGGCGGGGCTCATTCTCCGCCGCTGGAGCACGAGCACCGACCGCCTCACCCAACGTGTGTCTCTGACGCAGAGCCGAGGACAAACACACAATGTATGGTATGAACAGTAATAAATAATCATTTTTTATGACTGGAATAGAGGTCGGTAAAGAAAGAAAGAAAACACGATATAGAAGAAGTGCTTTCGCTGTGTGGTATGCACATGCTCTCTCTCGCCGCCCTCTCGCTGTCAGCTGCCGGCTTCTTCGCGTCGTCCGCGACATTGAGCCGCACCGCTGACGCCGGCCGCGCCGGCACGCCGATCAGCCTCGCCAACGCCGTGACCAACGGAATGCTTCCCGGCAGCAAGTTTTGTCTCAACGTGAACCAGAAGGTTGCGTGAGGTCGGAGCGGCGCGACGAGTTCATCGCCTGTATACGCGACAACCAGAAGGGAACGCTCTCTACTGAGCCGCTCGCTGTGGAGTACGTATGGGGAGAGGACGTGGACCAGCCGAACACCTTCCACTTCTACGGTGAGACGCTTCCCGGCTCCGAGCCCTGCCAGGAGGACCAAGCCAGCCCTCTCACCCTTCTTCCCCCGTTGCACTCAGAGAAGTACGAGGGCCGACGGGGCTTCGAGGCACATCAGGCGACGCCGCACTTTGCAGCATGGGAGGTGTTCGCGGCGAGCGACCCGTTCACGAGTCCACCGGTCGTCGAGTTCTACGAGGAGATGTGAGATAGGCTGAGGACTTAGTAAAGTCGAGAGCAGCAGTGCCTGGTGCTGATGTGGCATAATATGCAACAATAATGCGATGCTATCTCCCGGCTTTTTGAAACATGATCCCTCAAGGAGTCGAATTATGCGGTGGCACACAAAAAAAGAGAGAGATAAACCCCCGCGCCCCCGCGCGCCGCGGGCGGCGCGCGCCGGTTCGCGGTTCCAAGCAGGCAGCGGGTCTCGGCTCGGAAGTGGTGGCGGCGAAGGCAGCGGCGAGGGGGCGGGTGGCAATGGCGGAGGAGACGGCGGCGCTGGCGGTGACGGTGGGAGTGGCGGAGGCCCTGGCGGCGGTGGCCGTGCCGGGGGGGGCATATGCTTATCAATGGTGGGGGCGGTGGTGACGATAGCCGTGCCGGTGGCAGCAGCGGCAGCGGTGGTAACGAGGGGGGGGGCGGCGGACTGGGAGGCGGCGGGGAGGGTGACTCCCCGAAGAACCTCTCTGGCTTCGTCGGAGGCGGCAGCGGCGGCGGCGAGGGACGCACCGGCGAGGGCGGAGGAGGTGTGGGCGAGGGTGGAGGCGAGGGCGGGGGTGGGATCTGGGAATGGCGGTGGCCGTGGGGGCGGCGGGAACGGCGGTGGCTTTGGATATGTGATCGGCGGCGACGTCGAGGGCGGAGGTGGGGGTGGGGGCGAAGGCGAAGTCGGCGGGTGTGCGGTGGCGGCGGCGGATACTGACGTACGGGGGCGGCGGCGGCGGCGGTCCCCGCGGTGGCGGCGGCGAAGGCGGCGGCGGCAAGGGCTGGGGCGGCGGCGGCGGCGACGGCGGCGGTGGAGACAGAGGGCGGCGGTGGCGGTAGTGGATGGGGTGGAGGGCTACCGGTCTTTTAAGTTTTCGCGCGCACAGCTCCACAGCACGCGCGCGAGCGTGCACACACAGCTCACACGTCACAGCGGCCCGCAGAGCTTCCCGTGCACTGAGGTGCGATGCCCGGGGGGTTTCAGCCCCCTTCAGCCACAGCCTGACCTCGCCGCAGTCTGAGCCCTGGCCTCGACACCTCGACACCAAACCTCGACACCGACTCGACACCTCGACAACCCATGCCAACTCGACAAACTCGACACCCCTCGACACCCCTCGACACCATCTAGGCTGAAACCATGCTCGTCCGTGTCAAGGTGCCAAACTCGACACCTCGACACCCCTCGACACCCCTCGACACCCCTCGACACCGCTCGACACCGCTCGACACCGCTCGACACCGCTCGACACCTCTGATGATCCTAACACAGCAGAGACGTAGACCCATTGGAGTCACAGAGTTAGAAATCAGGGTTGCAGCAGCAATCAAACTTGGCTGGCAGTACTTTCATCCCTGAGTTGCAGCCTCTCAAGTTCTAGCTCAAGTTGCAGCTCAGTTGCACCCCTGTTGATGCAGCAAACATGGCAGTACTCAGGTAGCCCTAAGGTGCTGCACAGCACCTTGTACAGTGGCAATGAATCCTCACACCAGTGAGCTTGTGCCATGAGTGCAGACCTGTGGTCCATTGCGCTTTGTGCACTGGCGACGATGCAACGGCGACGCTGCAGCGGCGGCGACGCTGCTGCGATGGGGTACTGTAGCCCTTAGCTGCTGGACAGCACCTTGTGCAGTGGCAATGTCCACTGACTCATGGCACCAGCCTTGTGCCATGAGCGCTGTGGTCAGTTGCGCTTTGTGCGCCGGTGACGCTGCAGCAGCGACGCTGCTGCAGCAGCGACGCTGCTGCGGTGCTGCGCCTGCACAGCACCTTGGTGCACAGTGGCAATGACTCCCGGCACTTGATGTCCGCGCAAATGTCCACAGAGAGTATACTGGTTGTGCTCAGGTTGTGCTACATCAACAGGGTGCAACTGAGGCTGCAACTAAGGGATGAAACAGCTTTGCAACTGCTGCCCAACTTTTGTTGTATGTTGATGGGCTGCAACTGCATCCCCACCTTGGACACCTCGATACCTCAGACGCCTCTTGACAACACTCGACACCCGCTCGACACCCGCTCGACACCCTCGACACCCTCGACACCCTCGACACCCTCGACACCCCTCGACACCCCTCGACACTCCTCGACACGGACAAGCATGGTTTCAGCCTCGACAGGCCTCGACAGGCCTCGACAGGCCTCGACAGGCCTCGACAGGCCTCGACACCTCTATCCCTCGACAGCAGCTCGACACCCTCGACACCGGGCCTCGACACCTCGACACCAGGGCTCAGGCCGCAGTGTCACTCTGTGCAGCTCGGTGCCCGGCAGGCCGAGAGGCAGCGGCAGCGCCTCCCTCTCGAGGCTTGCCGTGCCATCGAGCCGGCGAAGAAACTCGGCGAGCCGCGCCTGGCGGTGCGTCGCAGTGAGATAGGCGGCGGCGGAGGGGGCGGCGGCGGCGAGCAGCGCTTGCAGCGTGGCGATGAGCGGATCAAAGAGGACCTGAATCACGGGCGCGGGGCGTGAGCGGCTCTGCTGGCAGTGAGCCGACCGTCGTCGAGGGTGCGCGCGCCTCCCAAAACACGCAATCGGCGGCGAGGATGAGGTCCCACCCCCCGGCCAGCAAGGCCTGGTCACGGCGGGGCGGCGTGAGGCGCGCGTCAGAGGCGCAGGGCCATGTGACGGCTCCACCCCGACGCAGTAGGGGAGGGGAGGGGAGGGGGAGGGGGGGGGAGGGGAGGGGGAGGGGAGGGGAGGGGAGGGGAGGGGAGGGAGAGGAGGAGAGGAGAGGGAGGAGAGGGAGAGAGGAGAGGAGAGGGGGGGGGAGAGGGGGAGAGGAGGAGAGCATGCGGGAGCACGCGGCGCCTCAGGGAGAGGCTGCGTCCAATCGAGAGAGGCAACCTCGACGCCGTCTCCCTCCAGCCGATTGAGCGCCGCGTTCCGCCGCAGCAGCGGCAAGTTCTCGGGGAGGTCGGTGAGCGCCACGTGCGAGGCTCCTAATCTCGGGCCATCTCGGCTGACCTCGCGTATCTCGGGCGGGTGGGCGAGTGCCACGTGGCACAGGCGCCGAGGACTGCGCCGCTCATGCCCGCGAGTCCTGTGCCCGCGCCGAGCTCGAGGACGCGCGAGCCTGGGGGGTGAGGCAGGAGCTGGCTGAGGGAGGGGGGGGGGGGGGGGGGGGGGGGCGAAATAAAAGGGGACCGCCCCCCTGCGTGAAAATACTAAGGAGGACCCCCGGGTCAGGCACGGGGGGGACGCCTTGCGTGCGGCGCCCGCTCGAGCGCCCGCCGCAAGAGCGAGGGGTCTACGCCCCGCATCTAGACGCACGGCACCCGCCACCTCGCCGCCCCGCTCCTCCATCGCCCGCAGCATCGCATACGCGCTCGGCCACACCTTGGCCGCCGTCACGGCGGGCACCACCTCGCCGTCGGCGCCTGGCCACAGGGAGGGGACTGCAGCTGTGAAGGACCTGCAGCTGTGAAGGGCCTGCAGCTGTGAAGTGGTATCACGGCTGGCTCTCGGCTGGCTCTCGGCTGTACGTCGCCCAGATCTCGCCCATATCTCGGCTGTATCTCGCGCCTCGAGGCACAGCCTGCAGCGGCGCCGTGCGCTGCTCCAGCCGCAAGTAGCGGCCGGCGACGTAGTAGCCAGGGTGGGGCACCTGTCCGCAACTTGAGCTGTGAGCGGCGCCTGGTCAGCAGCGCGGCGACGTGTAGCGGTGGCCGGGGCGGGCCAACCTCGCTGTACAGGTTGCCGAACCTCCACAGCGCGGGAAGCAGCGAGCGATCTGTCGCCGCCCGCACGGGGGCATCGCGCGCAAACGCCGCCTGTTCACGGACAGAGGGCGTGAACGGCGTGTCTTCACAGCCGTCTGACCGCGCGAGGGAAAGGGCCGCCGGAAGGATGGTCCACCGCCGCAGCCTCGCGCCGTCTGCTGTCGCTGCAGAAGGGGCATCGCCTCCTGCCTCTCCTCCCGCCTCCTCTCCTCCCGCCTCCTCTCCTCCCGCCTCCTCTGCTCCCGCCGCCTCTGCCGCCGCCGCCTCTCCCGCCGCAACGCCTCCTCCCGCCTCCTCCTCTCCCCCCTCCTCGACCGACAGCCGCAGCTCTGCGCCGTCGAGGGACAGCAGCAGCAGCACCTGCGGCAGCCCGCGCGCAGCGGCCGGCTCTCGCAGCTCGACGCTGCGCCTGTGTGGCAACGGGGGCGGCGGCGGCGGTGGTGAGGGCAGCAGTGACGGCAGCGGCGAGGCTGCGCGAAGCGTCACGACTCCAGTGGAGTGGGAGGCAGGAATGGAGTGGGAGGTGGCAGTGGTGAGGAGGCAGCGGCGAAGCTGGCAGCGGAGACCGCCTGCCAAGAGCAAAGTTTCCCGCCGCTGCATACCGGAGGCCGCAGAGCAGCTCGAGCTCGAGGGCTGGCTGGCGCGGCCGCGACGAGGTGAGGAGCACCCGGCCAGACGCCGGTAGCGCCGAGCCGCGAGGGATGATGACGGCAAGGACATCGTCGTGCGAGCGGAGGCCAATGTCAAAGAGCGTGCGGTTGCGGCTGTCGACGGGTAGCTCGGAGAGCGTCGGCGGCCCAGATGGCGTGCAGGTAGGCGGTGCGGGCGCCACAGCGCTAGGGAAGATGAGCGGAACCATGGACCGCTCTGCTGAGACCGCGCAGGGCCGGCGAGAGAGGCCCCTCAGGGGACCTGGCCGACCCCCCAGGAGCGCCAGCCGGCCGACAGCAATAGGCGACCGCGCCGCAGCGCGAGACAATCGGGGCGTGATTTCTTTTTCGTTGCGTTGCCAAAAGAATTCTACGAACACAAGCCCCTCTCACAGCAGACTGGCACGAACTAGCACCACAAAAGGCACAGCGTTACCAAAAGAAGGGAATGATGGCATATCTCAGTCGTTCTTCGCACGGCCATCGCAGAGCAGATTGTGAATGAGATGATGGAGGCGCTCGCCGCGTGCGGCGATTGAGCGCCTGCTGTGTGTGTGTGTGGTGGGTGGGGGGGAAACACGTGTGAACACAGTGTCAGAGCGCCTCCCTCTCTCTCCGGCTGCGCGCCTGACCGGTGCGGCCTCCGAGTCGGCGTCTAGCGCGCGCGATAAGGTTTTTGCTCGCCTTCCCTGGGATCCCGTGTTGCGTGACTCTGTGCGATTTCGGGCCCGGGGTTGTGCGTTTATAGTCGCTGCTTCGACTGGTTGCTAATGCTACAGCAGCAGCCAGTTCCCTGCTACTCACAATCTCCCCAAATCGTTGACTACTTGATCCGAGATAGCCCAAGCACTCATCACATGCGGCCATATCACCGTGGGTTACCGCTTCCCATCTGAACAGCGAAGTCAAGCACGGTCGAGCTCAGGTAGTACTTCCATCCGGGAGGGGGAGGGAAGGCTGAGTGCTGCATGTTTTGCCTCTTCCCATAAGTGGCGCCGGAACGGCGTCGGAAATTCCGCTGGTAAGGGGCACGCGTGCACTTTTGCCGCGTGGGCAGCCCGCTTCACCTCTCCGTCAATGGCCATGGCGTCACGCTCCGGCAAGCGCGCCCGCACCGAGAGCGACGGCAAAGGCGGCGAGGAGGGCGAGCCCGTGGCGGTCGCTGCCGGCTTCGAGGCGCCCATCTTTGGCGCGCGCGCCGTCGGCCAGGTCACCACGCTCGTGCTCGAGGGCGAGGACAGACCTCTGGCGTCGAGTTGCATGGCGTCGCAAGCGATCACGCGGACGGCTGGTACGATACGACTGGGTCTCGGTGCTGCACGTCTCGTCGGCTGGGCGCGTGCGCACCGTTGCAACCTGCGAGGACTGCCGCGGTATTTTCGTCAGCTGGGACGGCAGCGCAAAGTTTGTGGCGGACGCCGGCAACGCGACGACCGTCGGGTGGAGGTGGCGACGGGTGCTGTGACGACGCTCGCGGGTAGCAGCGAGGAAGGCGATGCAGACGGCGTGGGCGGTGCGGCGCAGTTCAGCGAACCATACAGCCTCGCCGTGAGCCTGGACGGCAGCGCGCTGTTTGTGGGAGACTGCGGCAACAACAAGATCGGCGGGTGGAGGTGGCGACGGGTGCTGTGACGACGCTCGTGGGTAGCGGCGAGGAAGGCGATGCAGACGGCGTCGGCGATGCGGCGCATTCAAGAACCCAATGGGCGCCGTAATCAGCCCGGACGGCAGCGCGCTGTTTGTGACCGACTACGGCAACCACAAGATCCTCAAGGAGGGGGCCGCCCCGAGCTTGAAGGCGCGAGATGCCCCTCCTCGCCACACGCCGCTCCCCGCCCAATGCTCACCGCGGCTCCCCTCGCGTGCAGTGGCTCATGGTGGACAATGAGAACAAATAGCAGCTGGTGGCCGTGTGCAAGGAGCGCGGCATCGAGCTGTTCTGAGCCTCTCCAGCCCCGGCCGGGTGGCGAGGGCGCGGGGCCCGGCGAGACCGACGCGCGAGCACGGCAGAGAGCAACAGGTGCGGCGGCGGAGCACGACGTACCGCGGTGAGGGCGCGTGCGTGGGTTTGGGGGGGGGGGACGGGGGGGGGTCTGCGACTCTCGGCGCGCTTGGGACAAGAGCGTCGGAGCGAGCGAGAGGGCGGGCGAGAGTGTGGGGTTAGAGGCTGGGTTGGGCGAGAGACACACAACCGAGAGACAGTCGCGAGTTGGATGGGGCACTGCCTGAGGCCTAAAGCCGAGGGTTCTTGAACTGGTTGGTGGTTGTGGCTGAAGAGTGTGCCAAGGTGTGCGTATTTTTTTAACGTCATTGTTTATTTACTGGTCCGTCGACGATGTGCATCAATGTCCATCCGATTCATTCATCGCGGGTGGGCTGGCCAGTGCGTGGTCGTTTCTGGTTCGGCGCGCGGTGGGCGCGGCGGTCTGGCTCTGGGGCCCCGAAGCCAACAAGGCTGAACGAGTACAATAGAGGAGCTGTGAGCGCTCGAAACCTAACTGACATGCAACAAGACAACACGTCGAACAGAGAGATTACACGGCAGAGGACACTGGTCAGTGCACGCAGTGGGTCACGGCAGCGGGTATACAGACTACAGATACAGTGCATGCGAGTTGCGACAAGAAAGACTGCATGGGAATACATTCCACGTGGGGAGCGGCACGTTGGTGGAGACACTCGGCGAGAAGCGTACAAAAGACGGGGCCACGCGGGAGCGTGAGCTGTACAAGGCGGCGGCCGCGCAAGGGCTACATGGCGACGGGTAGGGTAGGGCCGGCACGGCGCTCTAGGAGAGCTCCAGGGGGCGCTCCGATATGCTGTACACGCGCACGCGCCGCCGCCGCTCGAGGGAGGCGAGACCAGCAGCTGCCCGCTAGACGGAGAGGAGGGCGCCGAGCACGTCAAAGGGGCTCGACGGCCGCGAGGTGCCGATCTCGACGCGCAACGTGCCGATCTCGACGCCCGAGATTGCGCCGCACGCGTCGCGGAGCTGCAGCAAGCCGCCGCATGCCCCCCCGCCGCATGCCCCCCCGCCGCCCAGCCTCCCGCCGCCCGGCCTCTCGCCGCCCAGCCCTCCTCCGTACGACTCGGCCAGCAGCGCCGCGAGCGACTCGTGCGGGCGAGAGTGGGGCGACAGCCCGCGCCCCGGCGCCGCCTCGCCGCCCGCCTCGCCCAGAGGCGGGAGGGAGTCGTACGACGCGTGCAACGCGAAGGCGACGCCGCCGTCGCAACCGGCCCAAGCGGGGGGGCGGGGGG